ATTTGTTGTTGTTGTGATTTTTGATCTTGATCTGGTTGTCTCGACGTTTTTTTCCAACAAAAAAAAAAAAAAAGCCATAAATCGTCTCGCCCCTTTCTATTATTTCCAACAAACCACACTAGCCACATGTCAAACCCAAAAACCAAAAACCATTGTCTGTTTGTTTTTGAGGAAGAAAAAAATAACCAGAATTTTAGCAACAAAAAAATCTGTAGACTAAACGTTTTTTTGGTTACTTTGAATCAAAGAATCGATATGAATCGTGCGAAAATTTAAAATTTTCAAAATTTTCAAAATTTTTAAATTTTTAAATTTTTAAATTCAATTTTTGTTGACCAGGATTACCAGATTCGTTTTCTTGTTTTTTTTCGATTAATCTAATTGAAATCTTCTTTTCTGGCTGTTTTTCTTCTCTTGTTTTTTTTTTTGCTGACGCCCAGTTAAATATTTTCAAATTCAAACTTTTATTGACCGCCTTTTTTGAACTTTGAACTAAAAATCGATTGATTTGATCGATTTGATCGATTGAATCTATAAATATGATGTGTGTGTGTGTGTGTTTTTGAAGAAAATCTATAATTTTCTTCAAAGAAAAAACCTTTCTTTCTTTCCATTCCACCATTAAATCAATTTGAATTGAAACAAAAAGAAAGAAAGAAAGAAAAGTCAAACAGATCATCATCATCATCATCGGATGAAAGAAAAACAAAAACAGAAAGAAAGAATCTTTGTTTGTTGTTTTGTTTTCAATTGTTTTTCATCATCATCATCATTAGGAATGTGAAACAAAAAAGAAAATACAATGTTGCATTGTGTAAAGAGAAAAGTCAAAGTCAGAGTTGGTCAGTCAATCACACAAGCATTTCTTTCAATTGTTTGTTTCTTCTTGTTTCTTTGAATCTTTTACTCTTTTCTTCCATATACCAATAGCTAACTTGTTCCAGAAAAAAACAACAACAGCAAAATTTTCAATTGTTTTTTGCTGGGTTAGTTTTTGGTTGTCTGATTTACATTTTACGAATTCGTGTGCATAAATATTTTCAGTTTCAATCATTTTGTTGTTGTTGTTTTTGAATTGTCAAAAAAGCAAAAAACAAAAAATTTTAAAATTGACCTAACTGCCAGGGGGACAGACGACGACGACGACTATGACGTCGTCTTGGTCATCATCATGGAACTAAGAAAACTAGTCTAGACCATGTGACTTTTTTTCTTCTTCTTCTTCCTTCTGTTCATTTTTGACTCTTCAAAAAAAAAAAAAAAAAAAAAAAAAAAATTTCTTTTTTTTTTTTCCCTTGGGTTTTTTTTTTTNTGTTTTTTTTTCGATTAATCTAATTGAAATCTTCTTTTCTGGTTATTTTTTGATTTTTGTTTTTTGATTTTTGATTTTTGCTGACGCCCAGATATTTTCAAATTCAAACTTTTATTGACCGCCTTGTTTTTGAACTTTGAACTAAAAATCGATTGATTTGATCGATTTGATCGATTGAATCTATAAATATGATGTGTGTGTGTGTGTGTTTTTGAAGAAAATCTATAATTTTCTTCAAAGAAAAAACCTTTTCTTTCTTTCCATTCAATCATCAAATCAATTTGAATTGAAACAAAACAAAAAGAAAGAAAGAAAAGTCAAACAGATCATCATCATCGGATGAAAGAAAGAAAGAATCTTTGCTGTTTGTTGTTTGTTTTCAATTGTTTTCCATCATCATCATTAGGAATGTGAAACAAAACAAAACAAAAAAACACAATGTTGCATTGTGTAAAGAGAAAAGTCAAAGTTGGTCAGTCAATCACACAAGCTTTTTTTCAATTGTTTCACTCTTTCTCTAGCTTTGGCTAACTTTGTTCCAGAAAACAACAAAACAACAGCAACAAATTTTCAATTGTTTTTTGCTGGGTTAGTTTTTTGGTTGTTGTCTGATTCACATTTTACGAGAAAAAAATTCGTGTGCACACATAGTTTCAATCATTTTGTTGTTGTTGTTTTTGAATTGTCAAAAAAACAAAAACCAAACAAAAATTTTAAAATTGACCTAACTGCCAGGGGGACAGACGACGACAACGACTATGACGTCGTCGTCTTGGTCATCATGGAACTAAGAAAACTAGTCTAGACCATGTGACTTTTTTCTTCTTCTTCTTCCTTCTGTTCATTATTTTGACTCTTCAAAAAAAAAAATGTCATTTTGGTTATTCACTTGGGTTCATTTTTTTTTGTTTTGTTTCAAAAAAAGTTCTTGTTTTTTCTGTGAAATGAGAAGAAGGGGAGAGAGAGAGAGAGAGAAAGCAATTAGTTAATCTTACGGTTATTTGATAAAGAAAAAATACTGGGTAGACTATTTTGACTATATATTGGTGGCTATAGTTGAATCCTTTTTTTTGTGTCTCGAATTTATTTTTTTGTCAATAAACATTTGTCTGACTGACTGAATGACTGACTAGATAAGAGAAATTTAATCACCAACCAGAAAAGAAACACATTGTCTCTGTGTTTGGTCAGTTTGGTCAGTTTGGCCAGTTTGGTCAGTTTTTTTTCATATACAACGGGAGGTCTCTTCATGTAATCATTATCATTTCAATGATGATGGTAATGAAAATTTTTTGTTCAAGACCAAAAGATTCCTGATCTAGATTTTTCAATCAAGGGAATGCAAAACAACAACCAGTGGACAAAACAATAAATATTTGAAATTCCAATTGTAATTCGGAAACAAACAAAATGACCAATGACCAAATTCACTAATCACTAATTAACTCACTAGCCATTTGGGTGATTGTATAAATTTAAATATCAATATAGATGGCGCTTGATGTTACAAATGTTTTTTTCAAATGGATCAATTCTTTGTTCTGGCTATTATTTTCAAACAAAAAAAAAAAAGATTTCTCAATTGTCGGCTATTTATACACAAACAACATACAAAACAAAACGATATCCAATCGAGACAATTTCTTTTTTTCTTTGACAAAAGTCAAAAAAATTGATTCAAAAACTCAAAACAAACAAGCCCCTGGCTTTTTTTTTTTGAATTTGATTTTGTTTAACCATCAACCACACAAGCAGTAAATAAGCGTTTTTTTACCAGAGAAATCCGAATAATAATAAAAAAAAGGTATTCTTTTCTATTGTGTGACTCTCAAGTTGCTCGTTTTGTTTTGTTGTTATTTCAATTGTTGTTATTTGAATAATAAAAGACTTTTTCTTTTTCTCCATTCATTTCATTTCAATTGAAAATCAATCAATCAATCAATTTTATTATTATCTGGCCAGGAAAATTGTCTCCAATTTCCAAACAAAACAAACAAACAAACAAGCAAAATAATGATGATGTGGACAAATTGAATTCAAATTTTAAAAGTCAAATTTGAAAACTAATTCATATAATAAAGTGACAGTTTTATTTTCTTTTGTCAATGAAATTGATACATAGAAAAATGTATCAAATTTTGTTGTTGTTCCAATTGGATCGACTAATAATAATAATAATATTTGGAAAATTTCATTGAAATTTTGAATGAATGAAAACGTCATTTATGAATGAGTGGAAAAATGATTCCACCATTACAAAATTAGATTAATTAGTCGAATCATAAAATGGTAAAATGAAATTTGATAAAACAAAATGAAATTTGCTCGTGTATATCACTAATGGCCGTAAACTAATGATCGTTTTGAATGAAAACATTTTTGCAGTGAACCACGAATTTTTCTTCGAAAAGAAAAGAAAGAAATTAGCCCAACCAACCAACCAACCAACCAACCAAACAAACCACCCTGAAGATAAGAATTTTCGTGCACATCCAAAAAATCAAAGGTCAATCAAAATAGATCATTATTTGTTTTTGTTTTTTATTTTCATCAATTTGGTCATCATTTTAAAGGGGCGATAGTTTCCTTGAAATTCTTTTTCTTTTTAATCATTCTGGATGATTAAGATGTTGATGATTCGCGTGTACACACACACGAACACTCAAAACAAAAACATTCTAATTATTTGATTGATCATTCAAAAAACAAACTAAAAACAAAGCAAATCAAGAAAAGCCAAAACTAAAAACCAAAAATGGCTTCATTTAGTCAAAATAATGATGATGATTATGATGATGATTTTGCTACATTATTACTATTACCACATTATTTATAATAATGACCTCCGGTCAAAGGTCATTGAATAATAATAATAATCATTATAATAAAGACAACAACAACAACAACAACAATATCTTAATATGAAATGAAATGAATAGAATTGTTTCATTTGAAATTGTTGTTGTTGTTGTTGTTGATGAACCACACACAAACATTGTAACACCAACCAACCAACCAAATGAAGAAAAATGACAAATGACAATTGTAATTCAAATTTTTCTTTCTTATCTTTTTGTTTTGTTTCGTTTCATTTTCTTCTTCATTAATCGGTCAACCATTAATGTGGAAATAGGAAAAAAAAAATTTTTTTGTCTTGTCTTGTCTTGTCATTTGTCGTCATCATCGTTGAATTTTTCAGATCAATGATTCTTTGTGTGTTTGGTTAAAAAGTTGTTGTTGTTTCTCTTTGCATATTCATTCATTTCACATTTCCAGTAAGAAAAGTTTGTTTGTTTAAGAAAATTTTCTTTTCCTTCTATTAAACAATCTGCATTCTCTCTTTCTCCCACAATCTTTTGCGTCGAGAATTGTTGTCGCCATATCAAACATTTTTTTAAAAACATCAACATCGAAGACGAAGACTACGACGTCTTCGTAAACCCAA